GAGTGCCGTCCATTTCCGAGAAAAGAACCTAAACAAACTAATTTCGGAAAAAAAAAAAAAAACCGTTAATTCAAACCTTCAAACGATACACATAGGGCCTTCATTTAAAAACAAAAATGCAAGGAAAAGATGCATACCTTCAAATACACTTGACCACCACCTTGTACATAGCAGTTGATGTCAATTTTTCGAATACGAAAGGCCTCGTTTTTACGGTTTCGAGTTTGAATGAGCGAATATTCCGATATAGGATCACTTTGAGATACATGTAGCAATATTTAACCCTAAGATATTCCAAACAAATTAAATCTATATTTTCAAGAACATTTAATCAAACTTAAATAATAAAGCAAATTAAACAACGACAGTAACATACCTAATCAAAAAGGGCCACCTCCAATCGCCCCCAAATTAAAGACAAACCTTACAAATTTCTTGAAACACACACACACACATTGCAATAAAACAGCAGTACAAAAATTCAGAAGACAAGTAGATGTGAACAATGAGAATGTATATCCTTTTAAATTCAAGAAAATGGAGTCAGAAAATAGTGTGTGATTCTTGATTTTGCTGGGAATGTAAGGAACACTTTATTTCTCTTACATGTGGAACATTTCTTCATCTTCACACTTTACTGTGTGTCTGTTGTGTGTCTCTAGCTACTCTACAGAATAACTTGGCTTTCAATGGGAGTAACCAAAAAGAAATTAGAGAGAGAGAGAGAGAGAGAGAGAGAGAGAGAGAGAGAGGGTGTTCAATTTTTATTTATTTATTTTTGTCTTTCTTGAAAGAGTGCAAGATTTTGATTTTGTTTATGCAAAGTGTTTTAAGAGAATTAACTAAACGAAATCTGTGACTGTGTGTTGTCTGAATGTTCTCATTATACTCATTCTCTAGTCACTTTCATTAATTTTCATGCGCACGTGTTCCCAAATTTTTTTGGGGTAAATTACGGCAAACCCCCTAAAGTAAGGTTAAATTACAAAAAAAAAAACCCTATCATGTTTTGATAATTACAACCAGCTCCCTCAACTATGAATCTTGTTACACGTCCACCTTTGTGGTGTCCAATTTAGTGAAATCTTCTAAATTGTGTTGAATATTCTTCAGTTTATACCCGTTTTACCCTATTCGAGCTCCACATTTTAAAACAAGTGATTATTGTGCATCATAAACAACATCTTTGCACAAATCGAGTACAAACTAGGAAACATTCCACATAATCTAGAAGATTATTTTGAATTTGACACCATAATAATAAACGTGTAAGAAGACTCATAGTTAAGGGTTTAGATGCAATTACCGAAATAAGAGGGTTTTTTTTTGTAATTTCACGTATTTATCTTCTTTTTTGAAGTATACAATTACCAAAAGTGACATCAGAAAACATTCATCTGCTTCATAAAACTTATTCAAATACAACAAATACGTCTGTCATGGTAACTAAGACGGTTAAAGGGATTAACTAATCGAGTCGACAAAGAAGGTACTCGACTTGAACAAATTTCGTCAAAGGAATCACCCAATCTCCATACAATCGAGCAACTACAGACGGATCAACCTTAAATTTGCCGTGATTATTATTTTGTTCAAGATCCACCACATCTTGTCCGAACACTGTCGCTTTCTTTTCCACTCGTTTCTTGATCACTTCTTCAACACTTTCGAACGTCAATAGTTTCATTAAACCATCCCTATCCTGCTCGACCAACAAGTTCATACATAATACATACAAAATATTTCAAAAAAAAAAAATTATTTTTAATTTTTTTAATATATATACCTTAGCACGTATAGCCGGAACATAGTCATCAGGTGCCTTCCGGAACTTAACCTCGGCCACGAATTTCCCAAAGTGAATTTTTTTAGAGAGAGCCTTAAAGAAGAAATTAAATGATATCTCAATATTATAATTAATGTAAAATGATTTCTAATTACTAGTGCGATTTTCGGTTCTTTATTTTTATTTATTTTTATTTACCTGCAAACAGTCGAGATCGCTGGCTGCAGTGGAAGTATAGTTCCCGTCGTCTCCCTTAGTAGCGATCAGAGGAAGTAAATTCTTGAGATACAAGTTTAGTATTTTCTCGTTTATATTAATGCAAGCTCCTTGAGGATGCAATACCTGTATTAATTATAATCGAAACCAGTTTCTACATTAAAAAAGGATATAACTTTCGTTTTTTTAATCTGATTAATTCTTACCTGTGTAGGGTTATAATTAGGAAGCGAGCCCGGCAGCGGAGACGGTAGATTATCGGGGAAAAAAGCATTCTCTTCTGGTGAAGTATATCGACCAGTCTACAAACAAAACCGCGACAGATGAATCAAAGGGTGCAAAATACTAAAACACAAAATGAAATCATAAATGTATTTTCCCACCGAAAAAATTGATCGTCACCCGTTCAAAAGCATTAGGTTTATATGAACAACAGTTACATGTACCGTTCGAGCTGAACAAGCATAGATAAATCATATTGTACCTCGTTTGGAATCTTATTGTACCTCGTTTGGTTCTCAAGATAAGGTTATACACAAATTATATAAATGGACTATAACCAATATCATAAGCCGAGAGATAAGAGCTCGTTTTTTTTTTCCGTAACTTAGGGCTGGCCGGAAAAAAATGTTGCACTAATCAAACATCAACTAACCCTAATTATTAATTAACCATAACTTATCTTACCAACTATTGATCACAATGCAAGTACCACTTAATATTTTTAGGGCAAATTACGGCCACCCCTGAGGTAAGCTCAAATTACGAAAAAACCCCACATCTTTGAATAATTACAACCCATAAACATCTATATATCAGATCATGGGACAAAACGAATCCACACAAACAGAGACATGTATATATAGATACATATGCATGTATGTATGTACATCTGGTTGTATAAACAATATACCTTGGCCTGAAGAGATTCGGATTCCTTAAGAAAGAAGTGGAACAGAGAAGAAGGAGGAGACGAAGCACAGGGGATCGTGACGTCATCATCGTACAAGGGTGTATTAATTGGGTACTTTGATCTCTCAATTAGAGAGAAGATAATGGTGTCTTCTTGTCTGACCAAGCTCTTCCTCAGCGATTCAAGATTCAGCAAAGTGTCGAGATATTTGCCTTGTGATCCCATTTCAGATTCAGCCATTGATTTTTTATGAAAGAAGAAAAATGGGTTTTGGGGATGAACTTATAATTAGGTCTGTTTGGATAGCAGATGATAATGGTGTAATAACAATGGCAGATCTGTGTCTGAAGGCAGGTGAAACGGAGAAGATGGATATGTAATAAAGTAATTTAAAGTTTTTTTTTTTTTTTTTTTTTTTTTTTTTGTGTGATAAAATATTTAAAGTTTTTTGAAGTGGGAAAAAAGTGAGGTTTGGGATAATGTTTTTTTTAAGGCACGTAAAAGTAGTGCGTGGACTTCATTGACTTGATTTTCTTTTTTTTTTATTGTAATTTGGTAATAGTGTATATTTGGGAAAAATGAGTTTTTTAGTCCTCTATGTTTGCTAATTGGGAGTTTTAGTCTATCATGTTTTAAAATCAGAATTTTAGTCATGTAAGTTATAAAAGTTGGGAATTTTGGTCCCGTTACCTGCTATAACAGGTAATGTGATGGTTGTTGGATGAGTTGCCATTTAATTTATAAAAATAAATAGATTAAAATTAAATTAGGTGATGTGGTAAATGAGTTAAATTGGTTTTGGAGAGAAGTTTGATTCTCGATGTCAAAGACACAGAATAATGAGAAATATTTAATATATTAATTTATATATTTATTTAATATTATATTTTTGCACATCATCTAGTTTTTTTTTAATCGATTTATTTTTATAAATTAAATGCCAACGCATTCAATCAACCATTGCCTAACCTGTTATAGCAGGTCATAGGACCAAAGTTCTCAACTTTTGAAACTTACAAGACTAAATTTCTGATTTTCAAACATGATGGACTAAAACTCCCAACTAGCAAACTTACAGGACTAAAAAACTCATTTTGCCATATATATTTTATGGCAAATTTATTCTCAAATAAATAACTGTAACAATAAGACAAAGATGAAGAACATTCGAGATTGCGTGGTTCAGATCGGTATAATTCTACATTCACGGGAACAACAATGCCGGCTTCTTTGTTTTCTAACAACCAATGGAGATTACAAGTTCACAATGAAGATTTCTTATTACTTTAAAAAGTGTTTAACTACTGAAATTGTGTATCTCTCGATGCCTTCTCTTGTCCACCGTACCAATTAAGAATTATATACTTCTTCAAATCTAACCAACGCACGTGATTTTTGAAACCGTTTTTAGCTGCAGAATAACAAGTTGTTGAAACAACTCTTCTGTCAGCTTAGCTTGTAAAAAGGAGAAGTGCAATGTCTACAGTATATTACTGAAGACGGTCTAATATATAAAACTTGGCAAAAATGATTTTCGAGCTAAATGTCCTTTAAAATAAACTTAGCCAAACGGGCTTTAAGTTTTTCTTTAGTGATTAAAATGTCGAACTAAATTTCATTTAGGATATTCAAAAAAGATAAAATAAATAAATAAAAGTTATAGGACCGAACCTTAATTAGGGCATCTCCAATAAAGTCTCCAAATTGAATCTTCAAATTCTGTTCTGGAGACCCAAATAGAGATCCGGTAAAATTTTGGGCCGGACCAATGCCCCTCAGCAAGACCGGAGATCTCTTAATTAAGGGCTATCCAATTATTAGGGCATCTCCAATGGAGTCTCTAAACTCCATTGGGCTGCATAATATAGAAATTCTGCAACAAAATCCAACACCAATAAGACATTATAAGGGGCTCTATATTTTCAGATTTTTGCAAAATATGCAAACTTGGTTCTAAATTTAGGTATTGGTTTGGAGACTCTGATTTAATGGACCCAGCTTCAAACAAAATAAAATTTCTTGAATTTAAATTTTGAATTTAATTTTCTTAAATAAAAATTAAAATTTGAATGTTTGCAAATATGACCGTTGGTTTTCAACGGTAAGAAAAAATAATGAACAAAGCATAAATGCCTCTAATTGTTCTTCATCTTCTTCATCACTTCTAAATCTTCAGATTGTGAGTTTTTTTTTCTTTTTTTTTTTTCTCTTTAATACTTGTAGAAATTGGAAACTTGATTGGGTTTATGGATGGTTTATGGATCAGAGAATAAATAAATTAGAAGTAGGGGGTTGGGTTTTACTTCAATTCTTGAAGAAATTAGGAGCACAATTTTTTTTCATTTCTATGTGTTACGCTGCGTAAGAACAGAGTGAAAAAATTGGGGGAAGAAGAGGCGAGGCGTTAGATTTAGAAGAAGAAAAAAATTAGTGGAGATTAAAGGCGGTGCACAATTAGTGGAAATTTACAAATCTTATAATTATTAAGTATTTAATTAGTTACTCAAAAAATATTTAATTAGTGTTTTTTTTATAGTAATTAGTTTATCTTGTTTTTAGGTTTAATAAATTTAATTCTTTTATATTTAATTTAATGACTTACTATTTAATTATTTTTTAACAGTAATGGAAGATCTTGAAGAAAGTTCAAGGGGTCGTAGTTCAATATTTCATATCTTTTCAGAAATTTTCATTTTTCGGATCAAAATGTGTATTAAAAATAATTAAGATTGTTCAAATAAAATTTAATTGTCTACAATCTCGTATATGAATAAATTTTGAGCCATAAACAAATTACTATATAAAATAATCCGTAGCATGATTTAGAGACTCAAAATTATAGAGCCCTCCCATTGTGGAATTTTTTGTTTTAGAGACCGTAAAATTTTACCGGGTCTCTATTTGGGTCTCCAAAATAGAATTTGGAGACCCAATTTGGAGACTCTATTGGAGATGCCCTTAGGGCACACAATAAATACCCAATTCTTGAAAAACGTGAAAACGGGTGGTCCAATTTTTCAAATATTTCCCGCCATTTCAAGATTTTTGAAATGACGGAGGTGGCTTCGATTCTGTTCAATTCCGCACCCAGCTGTCACTCTCAGCCCGTGATCGAATTTTTGCAGATCACCAAACACTCTGCCGATTTTCTTCCCACATTTAATGGGAAAACTTAAATCCGAAGCTTCGAATTTTGAATGCCCTTTTCATTTAATTTTTGCATGTTGCCGTGAATTTATTATTTGTTCCACACAATCATCAGTTTTTCTTCCTATATAAGAGCACACTATGTGGGCAGATTTGAAATTGAGATTGCTTCCAAATGAGCTGCGATGGGTATTACAGCGACGCCTCTGTTGCGGCGGCGGGGAGGCGGCGGAGAAGAGGAGAAACCTGCCGGAGCTTCACTTGTATATCTCCCTGGTTTATCTTCTGGCGTCGGTCGAGGAGTTCGAGAAACAGATTCCCCGGCAGCAAATGGGAAGAGAAGGAGAAATTTGGGGGAAATTCGAAATTAGGTCTACAGAGAAAAAATGAGATTGTGAAAGGGGGTTCGACAAATCACGAGGCGTCTTCTTCATCCATTGAAGATGTTTTAGGTAATTTCAATTTTTTGTTCCCCTTTTTCGATTTTGATTTCGATTTCAATTTTGATTTCGGTTCGAAGGTATATCCAACATTTTTTTTCCTTCTATAATTACGTTGTTCAGCGGAATCGGGGAAAGAGGCATCTTTCAACCTGGGAGTTGGATTCGGCGTAATTTACGTTGTTCGAAACGAGCTTAACAAGATGGCCGAGTTGCGGAAAAGAATCGAATTACTGCTTCAGGACTTCCAGAATCAAGAGAAGAATCCACTTTCCACGCCCTCGAAATCCAGGATTTCTTCTTCGTCATTCTCAAACACCGCTGTAGTAGAAAATCACTGCCCTGAAAAACACGATTTCGATCAGCATTTTACTTCGGAAAATATCGCTCACCCTGAAACTGGTTTTGGTAGTCGTCGATATAGAAGGGAGAAAAGCTCGAGAGTGGATCAAATGGAAGCAGAATTCGAAGCCGAGTTGGATCACTTGCAACACCAAATGGATGCTGAATTATTTTCTAATTACTCAGAACAGCAATTTTCCGAGGTAAAATTAACGAGTCTTTTCATTACTTTCAATTAAAAGTTCAATTATTAAAACTGAGCCTAAAAAAGCCCGCATGATTACGTATTTCATTCTGAATCTTTGAAGCTCGATTTGCAGGTCAACGTGGAGGAGGAACGTGGTCCTGAATTTAGCGACAACGTGTGCTTTGAAGAAGCTAACAATGTTATTCACGAGCTAGGTAACGATGGGTACTATGGGGTTTCTCCGAGAGAACTCGAGAGAAAATTGCACGAACTCTTGGAAGCAAGGCAGCAAGAAAGGATAATCGAGCTCGAATCGGCTTTAGAATATGCTATGCAAGAGCTTGACGAGAGAGAAAGAGAGATTTGCTGGTGGAGAGAAACTGCCCGCCTCGTTTCTCGGAACCTTCCGAGCATCTCCGGAATGTTCCAACAGAAGAAACAAGCTTTTCGCTGTACGGAACGACCTGGATTTGAAGTTCGAGAGATTGGTAAGGGTTTTCGTAGAGAACTCGACGTGTGATTATCTGTGGTCAACACTGTGGTTGACTAGTCGTAGCACTCTCATTCTTGTGCGTGTGTTGTAAGGCCATCATTATTATAAGGTCAATTAGTATTAATGTTGTTATTAATATTGTTGTTTTATGTGTGATATCTAAGAAGAGGAGGAAAAAGGTTGGGGAGCAAAATTTGAATTTTTAGAAAGTTCAAGCACTTGTTTAGAAATATTGATGTTTGTAGGGGGTGAAAATGAGATATCGGTTAATAAAATGTGGTTAGGCACCTTCTTGATGCCTTTTGAATTTAGACATTATTCAAATCTTAAATTCCGCCAATTTATTTGATAAATTATTTTTTAATTAGAAGAAGTTTATGTTTTTTTATTGCAACGACATCGTACATTGATTTTATTGCACGAAAAAGCAACGGTACGGTGTTTTTCGCGTACTAGATTTCAAAAGATTGACGCAGTAGAGCTACGATATGAGGCTTGAGCCCTTTCTCCGGAAAAGTGTATCCGTCTTGTTTACGCTTATAAGTTATTTCGGCAACTCGTGCCCAGTTGAAAACTCGCATAAGAATCTCCATCGAGACAGAATTATCCAAGAGCCCTTCATTCATCTCTTTCCATCCAACCTCAATATTTTCGTGCAAGCATTGTATTGCCACTTGTTTCGATACACCGTGCTCCTTCATGTAGCAATCAATCCCGGTCGTTACTTGCCCTCTCTTCTTCTCGTCCTTACATAAATCAAAAAAATACTATGTTATAAGATTGGCTGACGGAATATAAGACAATATATACATTCTTATGAGAAATTATTGTTTTCGTCCTTCAGCTTCGCACCGATTTCACATTTGGTACCCCCATGTTCACAAAAAGACATATCTCGTTCCTCATATTTCAACAATTCAATACTTTTTGGTCATTTCTGTCAATTTACCATTAGTAGTAAATTTTTGTGAACAAGGGGGACCAAATGTGAAATCGAGGTAAACTCGAGGGACCAAAAATGTAATTTTCCCTACACTCTTATCATATATTAACTTGATGATCTCTCGTATATATATACCTCATACGTGGCAATATCGTCAATGATACGAACTAGTACGTTACAAGTTTTGAGGATATTAGGTTTAGCCAAAAGCCAATTGAATGCATCAATTGTTGCATTGTCCATGCCAAGGTAGGCTATTGTTGTTAGAAAGTAGACGCCGGCTGTAATCTCGGCTTGACTCATGTACTCATCAAATACCGGCAAATGATCTCCTTCGACGAACCATTTAGCCTCAATGTAATAACTCGTCACAATTTCCTTCATCTAGAGACCAAAACATTATATCGAAATGAATCAACCATATAATTCTGCATCGAAAAGTGAATATTTATATGAAGTGAATCGAAATATACCGCCTCCCTGGCATAATGAACAGCAAATGATCTCCCTTTTGGAGATAACTCTGCATCGAAGGCTTCGTATAGATCCAATACAACTCTATAGCATATCTTCATGTAGTCTGGGAGTCGATCGATTTCGCTTACATCCCATCTGATCGATCACACGAAAGTATAAAGTAAAAAAGAAGTTTGTATAATTTTGCTTAATGAATAAAGTAGAAACACTAATTATTACTTTTGTATGGCATCGGTGAAAACTTTTAGTTCTTCGATTGTTCCATATGTATCGTATGTGTCGTCTATCACACATATGATAGCTATGGTTTTAGCTAGCATGATTCGAGCACTAGAATATCGGGGCTCATGATAAACCGCCAAAGTCCAAAAATAGCTCTCCACTACTCTATCTCTAGCATAGGAAAGCTTGGAAATAAGGTCCATCTCCTTCCACCACCTGTACACAACAAGCAACAAAGTTCATATATATATATATATATATATATATATATATATATATATATATATATATATATATATATATATATATATATATATATGTGTGTGTGTGTGTGTGTGTGTGTGTGTGTGTGTGTGTGTGTGTGTTATCTGGTGAGTTCAGAGAGTTCCTTTTTGTGCAGCCTTTGTAGCAAATTGAAATCCAATTTGGCCAGCTTCAACAATGATTCATTCTTGGATTCGAACTCTTCGTACAATGAGATGAAGCGACGAGATTCAACTCTCGGAGTGCCTCGGTGGAGGGATTGATCGAGAGCATGCAAACTTGTTTCTTGAGGGGCGATTCGGGTAAATTACGAGCAACGACGACAGACTCAAGATTAGTTTAGAGAAAGAAAAAGCTTTGTCCAAAATCTCCTCTCCCTGCCTTCTTACGTATGATGCTTCATATAGGCTTAGCACACCCTCAATGTCAGTCGAAAGGGCTTTCTCGAATTGATCACCGTTATTATTTTCGGTGAATCTTTTGAAAATAGCTGCATATATCGATCCCAAATTGAAAAAATACTCGGCTTAAATTATATTTACGTGAAACGTCTCCATTGGCCTTATTAGATAACAATTAGTACACTTACAAGAAGGTGCATCCAAGGCGTGCTGCCTCAGCAATCTGAACTGCAATGCGACGATAAACAAATCATCGTTTTCTTCGGGCTCGAGTTTGAGATGGCCATTGAGTGCTAACGTGAGCTGTTCTTGAATTTCATTTTCAAAGTGATAAGATAAACCGAGGCGCTCGATTGTGTCGATCAAAATCAGTTTCTCCGACAATTTGCTGTCGCGTGTAATCAGCATATTTCTTGCTTCTTCTTTCAACACCTTAATCTCTTCCGCGTACATGTTTGGTAGCTGCAGAACACGAGAAATATATATAATGGTAATCTTAGTGAATTTGTAATATATTCTAAAAATATTTAATTAAATATCTTTCATTTATATATAAAATTAAAATTATAAAATAATTAACTACATGCGATGCACGTACATCTGTCTAGTATATAATAAAAAAAGTATAAAAAGTGATATATCGATGACGAGAAATTACCTGGATATCCACGTTAAATGAAGTAAAACGATCGTCCCACAAACTCGGAGGGAAATTACCGATAACAGGGCGTACAATATCACTGTTTTTAGTGTTCGTGGCGAGGTTGTAATTTGCTTCTTCATTGGAGGCGGCGGCCATAGCAAGAACATTCCTGCATGCAAAAACACATGTATGTATATACATATATATAATATGTGATGTTGTTTCTTTGTCTTTAAAAAAAATGTTATATGTTCTGATTAAAGAAAGATAGTACATGCCTATTTCGTCGTAAAGGCGCTAAAGTGGCGGGAAAAGTCGTCAGAGAACGGGAATGACTAAATATCGGAAGCCACGAAACAGTAGAAAGTAACACTGCCATTGTTCTCGATTATTCGACTTTTTTTTTGTTTGTTTATTAAGAAAGCTTATGTTAACTTAATTAAACAAAGTGTATATGATTCGGGGTTTATAATAACTAAGGGTGGCAATTTATAAACCGGATCGATCATTCCATCTGTTGTTTACGTGCAAATTTAATGATAAACCGAATATCTGCCGAATGCACGGTCGGGAATTATGACTAACATTGTACACTCTTGTTCAAAATTTCCTTAATTAGTTGAACTGATATATCCAGTCTATTTTTATTTGGACATTATTAGGTGAAAATATACAGGGCCGAATCTGAAGGCCTTCGGCCCCCGGAATTTTTTTAAAAAAAATTAGGGCCCCCCCAAAAAAAATCGGGGGCGCTGCCCCCGAACCCCCAAAACTGTAACCCCACTATATCACAATTTTCTAGCCATGCCACTAGCTATATACCTTACAAAAACGAGTTAACATAAAGTTTATCACCTTTTTAGAAAAAAATGAGTTTTATCGTAGATCGTTGAAGGGCCCCCTTTTTTTGCCGCCTTCAAAACTCGGCTACCGCCCCTCAAACACATACTAAGTATTAAAGAGACAAAACATCGTGTAATGGTTGTGTTAGGCACCGCAGAAGATTCCAGGTTCTTGCTTTTGGTTCTGTTAGGCACCGATGATATATATATATATATATATATATATATATATATATATATATATATATATATATATATATATATATATATATATATAATTTTATTTTAGAGGATTTCGAATTACAATTTAAGGAATTTAATTATCTAAAAAAACTTCAAAGCATTTAAAATTCTTGGCTCCAAATTATTCCATTAGACTTCAACACGGTATAGAGTCGGACAAAACACTCGAGATTCTTTTATTACACGATGATTAATTTTAAGGCCAAAAAAATCGAAAGTTGAAGGAAAATGTGAGGACCGCAAACCGAAAAACAACGATCATTCCATATTCATACAAAAAACTTAGTTCCGTTTTAAAAGAAATATTGACCTACCGATGATATATTTGCATTTTTTTCGAGTGCACATACCAAACGAAAACTTCAATAAAACACAAGAAAATAAGTACATATTTCATTTATGCATATATGCAATTAACGTATAAATAATGGATTTTTTTTAAAATGGTATACAAATAAAACGAAGCAGGCCAAATATCCATCATAATTTAGGTAAAATTTAATTTATTCCTCTAATTTCAAAATAACATCGACCCCCACTAATACGATTGTGTTTTATGCGCGAATTTAATGATAAACAGAATATTGGTCGAATGCACGGCCCCTGTCGGAAATTATGACTAATACCGGCCCCGTATACTCTTTATTATCAAAATTTCCTTAGTTAGTTCAACTCGTCTATCTTTTTCCGGACAATAGGATGAAAACATACTAAGTATGGACGTGACAAGACGACGTGTATCGCAATAACTAGCATTCTTTAATAGTTAGTTATGTTAGGCATCACAACTAATTCCATGTTCTTGCTGTCCGTTAAGTTACGAGATGATATAATTTGTACGAAATTAGGATTTCAAGTGACTTTGTTTAAGTGGATTTAAAATTAAAATCGAGGGCTTAAAGATTTCGAATTGTATTACATAAATGAAGTTATCTGTATAAACTCGATGCGTTTAAAAATTAGCTCCAAATTCTTCAATTCGACTTCGTTTCGATTGACGAATGTTAAGTTGATTACTTTTTAGTTTATCATAATAAACTCATTAAATTTATTTTAATGATTCTTTTTTTACAGATTTTTAATGCCAAAATATTCAAAAGTTGAAGGAATATTTAAGGACCACAAACAAAAAACAAAGAATACTCCATATTCATACAGATTATGGATGTTTTTCTAAGAGCAATTCCAGTGGAGGAATTAAATGGAATAACTTCTATTTTGATGCTCCAAAACATAAATTTTCATCTCCAATAGGGGAATTAAATTGGTAGTTATTTTGATATTCAACTTCCCGAAATACAAAAATGCATCCTGGAAAAAGAGGTATCAAAACATTAACTACCCAACAAACCAATTAAAAATTGACACGTGTCAATATTAAATATATTTATGCTTATATTTAAAATTAGATGATTCATTTAATGCTTGCGGTTGAAGCAAATAAGTATCAAAATAATAAAACGAGTATCAAATTAATATTTGATGATCGATTTTGATATTTTACCATTGGAGTTGCTCTAAGACAAATGTTATTATTTCCAATAATTATAGGCTGCTGCAACTGAAGGGAGATGAAGTAAATGCTGCGGTTGGAGATGAAAATATGATTTTATTTATTTATAAATTTTATGTATTAAAATAAATAAATAAATAATTTTTGGAACCCAAGAAAAATTTTGGAAGAAAATGCAATGACTTAACATTAAATCATCTGGGAAGAAAAATTTGTAAACAGTAATTAGAAATTTAAATCCAGTCCGGGAATTGGGGAGGAAATTAGGGCACAAAAACGACGTCGTACGGTTTTTGTGCTCCATTAATTTTATAATGCCTTTTCAGTTCTTACAGTTTTATCTTGAGCCCATTCTACTTTTTTGCCCATATACGATACCTTTTTAGTAATAATACGTTCGATTAACAAGATTCGTAAGTAAATCCTTGCACAAAATTTGAAGTACGCAATTAAATAATATTATTTCATTAAATTATTAATTTATTTTCGTTTTGATTAATATTGTAATCAATAAAGCTACGTGGCCAGAATCTGGCTGGCCAGAAAGGGCAGTGTTGTAATTTTACAAAAAAAATATTATGTTCAATTACTGATCTATCCTTGAGTTATAATATTTACATTTGAATTTAATTTTGAATTTTTTTTTTTTGTTTCTCTCTGTGTAATATGATTACCATGAATCCATATTTCAATGTATTAACATTAAATGTCAGATTACAACTTTCAATAAAATAACGTCAATTCATTTCATCTTCTTCTTTAGTTTATGGTTATCAGATTCGATGTCTTCTTCCATTAATTTTTCTTTATTTATATTTGAATATTAATTTCATGTAAAACCCGGCCCCATGAGCCCGGAAACCGGTTGTAAACCAGGTTTTAGTCTAAAACAGTCTGTGTGTTATCGGTTGAGGTCGGTGGAGGCCAGATGTCGGCGGCGAAAGGCGTTAATGGGCGGATCTGCTGGTGGGCCGCCGTAATGAAAAAAAAAATGGAGAATATGGAGAAAACTAAAAGAGAGAGAAAGCAGGTAGGAAGGTGGAGGAGAGAGAGGAAGTGGGTGGGTGGGTGGGTGGGTGTAGGTGAGAGTGAGTGAAGAAGCTTATAGGAGTGATAAGTGATATCTGATATGCTTCAGAGAGAAAGAGATATTACAAATTAAATATAAGACAAAAGTCTTTAATTTCAATGGAGAGAGAAAAGAGAAAATTACCTAAATAAATATAAAACAAAAAGTTCTTTTATTTCATTTTCAAATTTTGCTAAATAAAATCGGATTAATGCCTTAATTTTCTTCCCTAATTTCAAAAATTGGCATTATAATCGTGGAAATTAACCTATCTTCAATTATCAATTAGACACATTATTTACTTAAATTTGTTCAGAAAGTGGTCCATTTGGTATTTTTCCGATTGTATTTTACTTCCTAAAGAATTAAATTCC